CCCTACCCAGGAGGCATCCTTGTCAGATGTCTGAACCACCTCAGCTGGCTCCTTTCGATGTGGAGCAGCAGCGGCTCTACTCTGAGCCACTCCCGGATGGCTGAACTTCTCACCCTATCTCTAAGGGAGAGTCACCCTTCGGAGGAAGCTCATTTCTGCTGCTTGTATCCGCGATCTCGTTCTTTCTGTCACTACCCACAGCTCGAGACCATAGGGGAGGGTTGGGACGTAGATCAACCATTAAATAGAGAGCTTTGCTTTTACACTCAGCTCTCTCTTCACCACGACGGTGCAGCGTCCGCATCACTGCAGCTGCACCAATCCGTCTGTCGATCTCCGGCTCCTTCCTCCCGTCACTCGTGACCAAGACCCCGAGATACTTGAACTCCTCTCCGTGAATCGCTACCTTATCATGGTGGGTTTGTGTGTCCCAGAGATCCCAGGGGCTGTGTTGTCTGTGGGCTTCTGCCTCCTGGTAGGGTCACCCATGGCAAATTGGTCCTCGGTGAGGAACCAGACAAAGAGCGATTCAGAAGACCCTTATGAGAAATCCATTTAGGGAACCTATCACTCTGCCCAGGATAGGGTTACCGGGGCCCCGGCCTGGGGAGGATGCCCTAGAGCGAGCGTTAGTCCATGTGACCCGACCGCACACAGCCCGAAAAGGGGACACGGGCCCATTCTCCTGCAGGAGGCACCGTAGGGGGCGGTGCACTGTGTGCCGGGCGGCGGAGCAGAGACCCTGGCGGACCGATCCCCACCTACCAGACTTTTAGAAACACGTGCGAGAAGATTCAAGTAGCCAGAGATCAGAGAAGTCAATAACATCAGTATCATTAAAGTTTCCTCTGTTTGTTGTTTTTATAACCTGAGCTTCATGAGATCATAATCTATAACTGCCTGATGGTGGGGATGGTAATGATGCACACTGAGCATGTTGATTGGCTCTCTGTGGGCCAATGATGGTGCTTCTATTAATCGAGTCACCTGTGAAGCACCAATCAGTAGATTTTATTTCACACATATTTTCACATTAAAGTACCAATAAGGTCCTGCGTCAGTGATTTAAGGGTCAGAAGATGTTTTTTTACATGCTTTGTTTTACTCAGTGACAAATAATCAGGAAGAACTGATTTCTTTTCATAAAGGAACAGCAACACCTCTTTTAATCAATAGTACATAGCAGATATATACTGATAACACTGTGCTGCACGCTTATAGTGAAAGCTCGCAGAATATAAAGTCATTAAATTGAACATGATGGTCTGTATTTGTACCATCATGTTCATGGTAAATTGAACATGTAAAGTAACGCTGGGCCTCATGCACACAAGTCTCTGCACAAATCTGTGATTTATCGATGTTTTTGGACCTGAAATTGTTTGATCCTTAGTATCAAATTTAATAATAACATGATGATGATACATTTTATTTAAGAAAGTGACTTTCAAAACACTCAAGGACACTGTACACAAGCAATAACAACAACAAACATAACAATTTACAAAATAATATAAAAATAAGATAAAACGTTGAGCAAATAAATAAAATAAATTAAAGTAGTAGGATGGAAAAGTTTAAGTGGAATAGGCTAATGTGAACAGGTGAGTTTTGAGCCTGGACTTAAAAAGAGGGAAGGAAGTGATGTTTCTTACCTCAGGAGGAAGGGAAGCAGAAAGCCCTGCGCCCCACGTTGGCTAGCCGGGGGAACGATGGAAAGAGAGGAGGAGGATGTGAGACACGGAGAAGGAACGGTGATCTGAACCAGGTCAGATGATGGGTAGCCTTGAACGTGTACAAAAGTGTCTTGAAATTGATGCGGTATTTAACCAGAAGCCAGTGAAGCTGCTGCAGAGCAGGAGTGACGTGGTGCATAGAAGGAGTCCTGGTGATGATACGAGCAGCAGAGTTCTGGACACGCTGAAGCTGATGGACAGATTTTTGACTACGACCAAAAAGGAGTTGCAGTAATCGATATGGGAGGTGACCGGGCTATGAACAAGAATGGCAGCGGCATGTGGGGAGAAAAGGACGGAGACGATTAATGTTACGGAGTTGCAGTTATCCTGTCTTCCTTCTCTCACCCCAACC